ACTGCACTGTGTTCATCACCAGTAGTCTAGTTTTTATCCATCACCACACACATGTGCCTCTTTACAACTTTCACCCACCCCCCACCACCTTCTCCTCTGGTAACCACTAATCTGTTCTCCTTATCCATGTGTTTATCTTCCACATGTGAGTGAAATCATAGGGTGTTTGTCTTTCTTTATCTGACTTATTTTGATCAGCATAATACCTTCAAGGTCCATCCATGTTGTTGCAAATGGCACAATTTTGTCCTTTTTTATAGCTGAGCAGTATTCCCTTGTGTATCTATACCCCATCTTCTTTATCCATTCATCAGTTGATGGGCACTTAGATTGCTTCCACATCTCGGCTATTGTGACTAGTGCTGCAGTGAACATAGGGGTGCATAAATCTCTTTGAATTGTTGATTTCATGTTCTTTGGATAAATACCCAGGAGTGGGATAGCTGGGTCATATGGTATTTCCACTTTTAATTTTTTGAGACATCTCCATTGATAGCTTTTTTTACACCACTTTTAATGCTTTCATATTATTCCTTCATATAGTTGTACCATAATTTTCCTAGCCAACTCAGTACCACTGGACATTTAGTTTCCAGTTTTCTGTTGTTACAAACAACACTGCACTACACATCCTTGTGCCACATATGCAGTACATATATTTTTGCCCATATATCTATTTCTTTAGGATGCATTCCTAAAAGCGGAATCATAGGTCATAAGAGCAGGTATTTTTAAAGATTTCATTTACCCTCCAGGGCTGCTGCCAATTTTTTAAAAGACCTAAGTAAGGATTATCTGGTACATTTTATCTTCGACTAGGTAGCACAGACTAATCAACTCCGAGCTTATGCCTTCGGCCAGAAGCACAGCAATTCCAGACCACCACGTCAGTTACTGACACCTGCTGACCAGACGCTAATTGGCTGTCAGTTCTGGATCAGTACGAAATAAGAAAATGAGTTAGTAACTTAAAACCTATAGACTTTTGTCCGGGAGCCAAAATATTTCAAACCTGAGGACCCGTGAGGGTTCCTAGTAGTGAAAGCCTTGGGAACGACTGAACCCAGGGTCTGGCACAGGCCCAGGACAGAATATGTGCTGTAACCACTGCCCCTTTTCCAATTCTACAGATGGGACCCTGAGCACCTGCCACTGTCTGCACCCCCAAGTCTCCTGACTCAAAGTTCAGCTTGCTGCCACAACTTAGCGCCACTCAGAGGACTGCCGCTCGCCTGCCCAAGAAGACACCCCGCTCGGTTCCGGGGTCCGCCGCGCATGCTCCGTCCGGCGTGCAGCCTCCCGGCGCCAGGGGGCGCGCTCCCCGCCCCGGCGGCCCCCGCCCCCGGAGCGGTTGGGATTTGAATTTCCGGCGGGTTGCGGCCGGAAGCGTGGACTTCTCAGCCGGCATGGCGAGCTCGGTCCCCCGCGCTCGGTGCCCGGTGCAAGAGCAGCGTGCCCGTTGGGAGCGGAAACGCACCCGCACTGCGCGGGAGCTGCTGGAGACCGAGCGGCGCTACCAGGAGCAGCTGGGGCTGGTGGCCGTGGTGCGGGCCGGCACGCCCGCCCGTATGGGGAGGGCTCCCAGGGTGTGGGAGGGTGTCTGCGAGGTTGGTGACCCGGGTGTGGTGGGTCTTGCCCTGTCCACCTGCATGTAGGGAGCTCCGCCCTGGCGTTGGCCTCCTCTCCCTGCAGACTATGTTCGGGTATTCTCTCCTTCCGCAGTACTTCGTGGGGATTCTGAGAGCCAAGGGCACCCTGCGACCACCAGAGCACCAGGCCCTGTTTGGGCCCTGGGAGCTCATTTACGGCGCCAGCCAGTGAGTGGAAGGGGCGCGGGGAGAGGGCAGGAGGGAGAGCCCTAGCTTCTGGCCGTGCTCCGAGTCGGAGAGACCCAGGTTCATATTCGGAGTCTGCCAGTTACCTCGCCTGTGGGCTTGGCCCAGTGCCTTCACTTGCTTCAGGTCTCCATCTGTAAAATGGTGTAACAACACTACCTCCGGGGCAGGGTTATGAGCGTTCAATGAGGTGGTGCTTGAGTAGCTCTTGGGCTGCTCTTCTATTGTCCTCACCCATGCAGAGAGCTGCTTCCCTACCTGGAAGGAGGGCACTGGGGACAGGGGCTGGAGGGCTTCTGCCCCCACCTGGAGCTCTACACTCAATATGCTGCTAACGCAGAGAGGTCCCGGACCACCCTGCAGGTAACCCGAAGATGATCTCAAGTCCGGCCCCTCCTCCTCTCTTGCCCCATACATTTCCTCTTCATCTGGAGACCCAAACTTCATTCACACTGTTCCTGCATTTATAGAGCCCTCTAGTGCCCAGCTCTGTGCTAAGTTCCCTGTAGGAAGACAGGTTCTCAGGAGCACACAGCTCACTGAGCGCTGGGGAGGTGTACACAGATGAATACAATATAAGGAGTGGCTTCTCCCTGCTGCCAACTCTCCCCCTCACTCTAGGAGCAACTAAAGAAAAACAAACGTTTCCGGACGTTCCTTCAGCTTCAGGAAGGCCGCCCTGAGTTTGGAGGCCTTCAGCTCCAGGACCTGCTTCCTCTGCCTCTGCAGAGGCTCCAGCAGTGAGTGAACTCACCAGGACCCAACCCACTTCTCTTTTCTGAGTCTATGACTGCTGCTCTCAGCTTTGTGGGATTCCATGGGGTCTGTCCCAATGCCTCTCTCCTGGGACAAATTGCTCCCAAAACCTTTTGCAAAAGTAAATGTGAACCCACTGGAGTCCTCCCGGTCTGCAGATTGTGGAACTCTGCACCAAAGTGAGGGGGCCTGTAATAGGGCTCGTGACAGGGTATCTGGAAGTTTGTTGAGATGAGAGGTGGCCTAGCATAGAATTTCTGTCCCCGGGATGAGTTATGAGCTTACAGTCAGGTTGTCTGTAGCATCCATCCTCCTTTGGTTGATTTAACTTTCATCTTGGGATTTGGTCTCCTGAAGTATGGTCATTCTGCCTCTGACTCTTCAGTGTGGGATGGAAGAGGGCCACGTGGTGTGAGCCCAGGTTCTGAGTCCCAGAAGAGGAGGCTACAGTTTTGAGGAGCAGATCTTTCCTGGCCTTGCAACTGAAGTATGTGTAGGGGTGATCTGTGTGCCAGGCAGAGGGAATTTTGCCCAGCTTTACTTCCCCTCATATGCTTCCAACTGTCTAATTCCAGGTATAAGAATCTTGCCGTTGCTTTGGCTGAAAACACAGGTCCCAACAGCCCTGACCACCAACAGCTCACACGTATGTTCTTGCTCCTCTGCAACTTAGGCAGGAGGCTGCCTCTCCTGTATCCCTTTGTGGTTCTGACCTCCAGCAATGTCTGGTATGCCCCTATCTTCCACTGACATGTACACAATGTCCCTATTGGCCTGCCTTCTCTTCAAGAAGTTAGACCCTGACCCTGGCCCCCTCCGCAGTGGCCTGTCCTTCACCTCCACCAGTCACCCAAAGTCAGTTGTGCTGGGAGTGGGGCGGGGGATGTTATTCCAGGGGCTGCCTGGCTCATAAGTGAGACCGCCCAGAGACTTCACACCATTGGTCAGAAACAGAAGAATGACCAGCACCTCCGGCGTGTCCAGGCTCTGCTCAGTGGATGCCAGGCAAAGGGGCTTACCTCAGGTAGTCTGCATACTTCCCCCTCAATCCTCATCTGCCCTTTTCTTACTCACCCCTGTTCCTCTATAGAGCCAGCACATACCCCATTTCTTTGTATTGCCACGGATCATGATTCTGGAGCTGCACCACAATAACAGCCCGCCCATCCCCCAGGTCGCTGGTTCCTACACCAGGGCTGGCTATTGGTGGTGCCTCCCCGTGGGGAACCTCGTTCCCGAATGTTCTTCCTCTTCTCTGATGTGCTCCTCATGGCCAAGCCTCGACCCCCATTGCACCTGCTGCAGAGTGGCACCTTTGCCTGCCAGGCCCTCTACCCCATGGCCCAATGTGAACTGCACAGGGTCTTTGGCCACTCAGGAGGCCCTTGTGGTGGACTTCTCAGTGTAAGTAATAAGTGGGAGCTCTAGGTAAGGTAGGAGAGGCCCAAAATATGCCTCAAATGCCTACGCATCTGTTTATCTCCTTGGCTTTTTTTGTGTGTGTGTGAGGAAGATCAGCCTGAGCTAACATCCATGCCAATCCTCTTTTTGCTGAGGAAGACTGGCCCTGAGCTAACATCCGTGCCCATCTTCCTCCATTTTATGTGGGACGCCACAACATGGCCTGACAAGCAGTGCGTTGATGCACACCCAGGATCCGAACATGGGCCACCAGCAGCAGAGCGCGTGCGCTTAACCGCTGTGCCACGGGGCCGGCCCCTATCTCCTTGGCTTGGACCCCTTTCACAGGAACTGAGCCATCTACACAGAGAGGATAACTGGGGCTTGGGGTTCATATCTAGTTCTCACCTCAGCCTGAATTACCTCCATGGGAACAGCAAGGCCTTCAGCTTTAGCCTGGACCTTTCTGAGCCATGCACTAAGAGGTGGTCTCTCCCTAGCTGTCCTTTCCCCATGAGAAGCTACTGCTTATGTCCACAGACCAGGAGGAGCTGTTGCGCTGGTACCACAGTCTGACTTTGGCCATCAGGTAAGTTCAGGAAGATTTGCTGTGATGAGGCCCACGAGCTGGAGATGAGCAGTTCTGATCCTGTCTCATGTCCTACATCTGTCTGGGACCCCCCCCCCACCCCATGCGTGGGGGATTTTATCTGAATAGAGTGCTCATGCCAGAGCCTGAACTGATTGTCTTCTCTCCACAGCAGTCAGAAGAACTAGAAGAATCTTAGAAATTCCAGAATCCAGAATACTTCAGGGATAGGTCAGGATCAGGAGTACAAAGGAATCTCCTTCAGTACTAAACAAAACACAGAACTCTTCATGGTTTGAGAGGGGTCACTTTGTGTTTGCCTGGGAACAAGCCGCAGCGGGTCATGTGACTAGCTCTTAAGAATGATGAAACCAAGTCAGACCCAAGTGAAACTGCTGAACCAGCCCCTCCAACACAGATGAGGGGATTTGGGACTGATAAGTTGAGCACTATGTCTATGGTCAGTTGTTTATCAAGGTTGTGGCTTTGTAAATGTGGCTATTTTTATGTTGCATGTGGTTTCTGTAATTTATTTTCCCACTGGATTTTAGTAAAGTTTTGTTTTTGGAAAGGGCTTTCTGTCTCAGCTATGTGATATGAGAAAAGGGATTTTTGTGCCCTGAAGGCTGGCATGATGTTGGCCTCAGGAATACAAGGAAGAGCACTGGAGCTCCCTCTATCTTCCTGGCTCTTGCACTGGAAGGCGGCCTCTTTGTGTCCTAATAAGGGAAGCTCTTCAAGAAGGCCCAGTTGTTCTTAGGCACCTAGTATGGGTGTGTGTGTGACCAGCTGGAATGGAAAAAGCACACAGGAGCATCCAGTCACAAGGACAGGCTTTGTTTACTAAACCTTCAGCTGTCATGCTGCTTCCCAGTGGGGGCTGTGATGGGCCCTTCTCCTCAGGCCCTGCTCCACTTCCCAGGGCGTAGCTCGGTTTCTTGTCTCTGTGCTCCAGTTTAGGGGCTCCTCCCACTCCTGACTATCACCAGTCTCCTTCTCATCCTCTATATGTGAGTCATCAGGAAAGGAGATGCTGGCCTCTGTGAGGGGGAAAATCAGGTGTGTTCAGTTTCAGAGACTTTGTCTCTACCTCTTCCAGACTCTCACCTCCCAACCCTTCACCTGGTTCTGGAACCTCCACACCATTGTTTGGCTTGCTGTCTTGTAGCAACTGGTGGATGGTCTGTAGCTTCATGTTCAGAAGCTCCTGCTGGGCCCCAGCCAGGGTTGTCACACTGTAGATATGTCCACTCAGAGGCTGCCCAATCTATGTCCCCACCTCTCCCACCTTCCACAAGTTGCCCTGGCCATAGGGTCATTGCTCTGCTTACCGCTCAAAAAGGGGGTCCAGCTGGGCCATCAGATTGTTCAGGTGTTGTTCTGTCTGGGCCAGCTGTTGTGTCAGCTGGGTCAGCTGTTGCTCTGGGGAGAAAAGGAGAGCAATGGTTACATCTTTCTGTGCCCTAACTCCCCACCAAGCACAGACTTCTGCAAACCCACCTGACTGCAGTGATTCCTTCTTCCCTGCCTCCTCCTGGAGACCAGCAGCTTCATCTTTCCCCTGCTGTGGAAGAAGGGAAGGGCGATACTGCAGCAACAAGGTTCTCCATCACCTCAGTCTCCAAAGCCAGTAAGAGGAGAACAATTTGAGGTAAGAGAGAGCTATTGGGTTTTAACCTCAGAGAATCACAATCACATCTAGTCTAGCTCCTCACCCAGGACATGAAGCAGTGTGTCAATACGCCCCCACATGTGGTCATTTAGTCTACTGAAACACCTCCAGGAATGAGCAGCTCTCTCCAGTTTGATAAGCTCTGGTTGTTAGTTTATATACAAAGCCAAAAATTGTCCTTTATGTTCTTTCCACAGTGCTGATTAGAGCCTTCCAAAATCATGTCTTCTCAACATGATAGCCCCTCAGGAATTTGAAGACAATGGGCATATCCCCTGCCTCCTTCCTCATGTCTTCTCTGCTTTAATATCGCCAATCTTTTTTCAGTCAACGCTCATTTGACACGGTTTTCTCTGGTTGCTTTACTGAGCATGTAATGCTCTTAAAGCAGTGCTCCGAAGAGAATAAAATTCTCCAGGAGTGTTCTGATCAGAAGATAAAGCACAATATCTTGTTCCCAGCATTGATTTGGCAAGTGGGTTGTCACATTACACAACTTAACTTTATTAGTCAACTAATAAACTGCTAAATTGTTTCTTTCAGACTAGACTTGGGTCCAAGAATAGAATTTATGATCTACCCTTGTTAAATTTCATCATTAAATTCAGTCCCTCATCCTAGTCTGTCATGTCTATTTGGGATTATGATTACCTATCCCTATTAGTTATCCCTTCTAGTTTCGTATCATCTCCAAATTGATTCGGCCCTCTATTTCCCAATGCAAGTACGTGATAGAGCCAGGGCTGAAGATATAGCCGTGGGAGGTACTATAGCCCTGGAGGTACTACTTTCCATTTCAACAGTTTCAATGCACCAAAATGTACTATCAGTTCACATTTCAGGGCTTCCTTCCCAAGGAGAACATGAGACTGCCTGGTACCTTGAATTCTAAAAACACCGTGGCTACAGTAATCAACTGCTAGTGCCAAGGTTGGAATCTCACCAGGAACTGCACTTTTGTAGTATGGACACTTGCTAGGTTCAAATCCCAGCTACACCGTTACTAGTTCTGGGTAACCTTGAGCAAAAGACTTAATCTCTTCATTGGATTGCTGGAAGGATTAAATGTGATGGGTCACTATTTATTTACAATTTGCCAGACGCCCTTCATATCCATTACTTCGCTGGATGCTCAAAATAACCCATAATGTTAGAAAGCCAAGGAACTACTGTCCTCATTTTACAGACCGACGGGAAGATGTCTTGTTCTTGGTACCGTAGCGCCCCATGGGAGATTCAGGCCCGGGGCATCCCCACCCCTGGTCGTCCCGCACCTGCAAACACTTGTACAGCACAAAAGCCATGACGGCCGCCGTGTACAGCGCCCCCAAAGGCAGCGCCCCGGCCCGGGCCCGCTCGTGCTGGTCCTTTGGCGGCGGTCGCCGCCAGGGTTCCGTGGCCCCAAGGCCGTCCTGGGCGGGGTCCCCTGCGGAGGAGGCCAGAGGCAGGTCAGTAGAGCTGGGGCCTGGGATCCGTGGGCAGTCCCAGCCTCCCTCCAGCAGCCCTGGCGGGTACCTGGGTGTGCCCGGAGGTCAGAGCTGGGGCAGTCTCCGAGGTCCCCTGGCAGCGCAGACACAAGTAGTAGCCCCAGCATACCCGCGAGCGACACCGCACTCGCCATCGCAGGCCGACAGAACCAGGGGCCGGACGGCGCCTGCGGCGGCCCAGCGCCCCCGTGCGCATGCGTACGCGCGTCCCCGAGCTTGTCCGGCTCCGGGCCTCCCGGAAAGACCACGCCCACTTGGTGTGTGGGAGGGGCTAGGCCTTATTTGCATAGGACTGTAGGCCATCGTTCCTAAATGAGTAGGTTTCTTATCTATTTAGGTATTCTATTAACTAGAAATGCCTCCAGAAGCCTACAGTCTTAGAAGATTATGCCAGAAAGTGGTTTTTATTTCTCATGGTGCCAACCTTTATCACCCTAACCCAAAGGTGAATTTCCTATTGGCCCTATAAAGCGCTAGCGCTGAAGATTGTCTGCCGAGTTCGTGCTGAAGGCCTGTTTCCTAGGCTACAGACGGAGGACTGGTTCCTCATTCGTGCCTAGGGGAAAGTCCCCGGACCTCTGGCAGAGAGTGCTATGTGTGCACGCACGTAGGCGTCGCATGCTGCTCACTACCAACTCCGCCGAGAAGCGAGCCTGCGCAGGCGGGGGAGCCGAGCGGTATGATGCGGCAGGCGGCCCGCCGTCAGCAAGCCGAGTTACGCAGGCAGCGCGCGTCGGCGCGCTAACCACACGGGGCTCATTCTCAGCGCGGCAGACTTTTGGAGGGTCATAAATGGTTACGATGTCTTTTGGCTTAGGAAGCCCTTCAAACATGGTACCACTACCACTACCGGGGCTCGTAATGGGCCCATACACTTACAAAACTAGTTCCAGTTCCTCTTGTGGCCTAATACATCCCTGTATCAATTTTTTGCAGTTCCCTCTTCCTGCGAAGGCCTCCTCTTCCCCACCCTCTCCGTCTGGCAAATGCCTCTAACAGCCACCATTTATTATGTAGCATGGTACACAACAGAATATGGATTGTAATTGCCTGGGCTAGAATCCTGTCTCCTCTACTCGAGGGCTAAATGGCTTTGGGCAAGTTACTTTATCTCTCTCTCTGCCTCAGTTTCCACTCTGAGGAATGGAGATAATGATAGTAGGTATGTACCTCAGAGAGTTGTTATGATGATTAAATGGGTTAACCAAGAAAAGTGCTTAGAACTGTGCCTAGTTATTAGTGATTTTACCTTGAGCCGCTGCTGTGAGCCAGGCACTTGAAATTATATGAACCCTCTCCCGGACGTTCGGCTGCCATGCCCTTTCCGCACTGTTAACGTCTACACAACCTTCAGATCTCAAGTGTGTTCCCTTCATTCGGAACCCTTATCTCAACTTCTAATTTATTCCTCAGTGCAACTATTGTACGTTCTTCAAACCACTATATGGTTTGAATTATATGTCAATTATATCTCAATAAAGCTGGAAAAATTTTCAATTATAAAAAGAAAATACCGCTAGACTGTAAATACCACTAGAGCAGGGGCCACATCTCTTTTCCTTTACCGTTTTATTCCTATACCCTAGCACAGCACCTGGCGCTAGCACGTCCTCGATGAACCCTTGGTGAATGAAATTAATGTGTTCAAAACTACCCAACACGTCAATATAATCAAGCACTTCTAAAGAATGAGGAAACTAAGGTTCAGGAAGGTTAAGTAAGTTACTGATCAGGTAAGAGGCTGGGCAGGGAGTCTGACCCTTTTCTCTCTGTCTCCAGGTCACCTTCCTCACATCACTGCCCCCAGCTCGTCCCCCTTCTTGGCTTCCACGACTTCTCCAGGCGGACTTGGGTGGTCTCCCTCTCTCTGTTCCACACTGTCTTTTCATTGTCTGGGATACATAGGGTTGTCTTCCTAATTAGACCAAGAGCTCTTTGAAGAAAGTAACCATTTCCCACTCACATTTGTATCTCCAGAACCTGGCATATAAGCAAGCAACCAGTACACATGTATTAAATGAATGAGGTACACGTGTGTTAAATAAATGACTGAACTATATCTTGTCTTTTCAGAAAGGGAGGGGCAGGGCAGGGCAGGGCAGGGCAAGACCAGCACTCAGGGGCGTTGTCACAGTCCAGCCGACTACCCAGCGCTGCTGCAGAGCAGTGCAGTCCAAACCTTGAGTCTAAGGCAGTTGGCACAGTCAATGTAATTAAGTGGTTCGGGCCACGTATAACATGACAAATGGCCCCCAACTGATTGTTGCCCATAGGGAATTTGGGCCAACTGTTACCAGATCTGATTTTTTCCCAAAAAATCAACAAATCAGGATTTCTCAAACTGGAAATCTCTGTTTTTAAGTGTTAACAAGGAATCAGTGGCATACTTAGCACATTTGACACCTGAGCGGGTCATTTTAACAAACTCTCCTCTTCTATATGACAAAATTATTTTCAGTAATAATCAGGAAATGAAACAAATAATAAAGGCCAGAAAAGAAAGTAATAATAATAAGGACCAGAAATTAAGACAGTGAATTAATCACTTCTTTTATTGAACTCTGTAGATAAAATCATGACAGCATAAAAAATTATAGTTAAAAATTGAAAATTAAATAAACGTAACAGAATAAGGGAAAAGGTAATGGGTTAACACTTCTTCATTACATTATTGTATTTTTTGAGAAAAGGGGCAAAAAACTTATTCCTACATATTAATCTGAGTGATGAATAATGTTACAATTTCCTTTTGGAAGTTAACTTCTGCAAATTTGTCGAAAGTAATCCTTGCATAATTATATTCAATAGGGAATACAGCCAGATTTGTCAATCTCCACTCATAATTAAAGAATACATTTTATTAATTTTCATTTCAAAAAGTTTCTTTTGCCTGAAACAACAGACACACAAATAGTTAGGAAAAGTCTTAAACATAAGGCTGTTCGGCAAAAATTCATAAAATTCCATTTCACAATAAATTCTAGAAATTCTCAAGATAAATAAAACTCCAAATGATCACCAAGAGTGACAGAATTCAAGTAACTCAAGTTCAATTTCTTTGACTTTACAATCATTGTGCTATCATTGTTTAAATTTACCGGTTAAGTGCAGGCACAAGTAACATCACAGGGGTTGGAGACAGAAGTTGTGCCCAAAGCAAACTCAAACAATTCCAAACAGTTAAGAAGGAGTTCTTAACATAATGAATCTGCTGTGTCAGGGGCCCACTGCGTAACTGGGAGTTCTCCAGATTAACTCCCATGTAGATTACAATGGTTTTTTTGTGTGTGTAAGGAAGATCAGCCCTGAGCTAACATCCATGCCAATCCTCCTCTTTTTGCTGAGGAAGACCAGCCCTGAGCTAACATCTATTGCCAATCCTCCTCCTTTTTTCTACCCAAAGCCCCAGAAGAGAGGTGTATGTCACAGTTGCACATCCTTCTAGTTGCTGTATGTGGGATGCCGCCACAGCACGGCCAGACAAGCGGTGTGGCGGTGCACCCGGGATCCGAACCCTGGGCCGCCAGTAGCGGAGTGCCAGCACTTAACCGCTAAGCCATGGAGCCGGCCCCTACAATGGTTTTTAAAGGAAAAGTAATACAAAGTGCTAATTTGAAGCTTATATATTATCAAAACTCATCAGTAACCACAGCAATTTAGAACCTAGATCTACAAAAGATTTTTCAGAGAGGAGTATTTTATCACTGACATTTTTTAGAATTTCTGGAGCATGGTGATAATGAAAAGGAGACTGATTTTTAGTCGGTTTTTAAATTCTCTACAGACAATACCTCCTTATGGCCTGTAACTGGAGGGGCAGGACCTCTCCTGCCATCCGCATCCTTGGGACACCACTGCAATGATTATAAAATTTTTAAAAACATCGTAGGGGCCAGACAAAACACATCTCTGCCCTCTGGTCTAAGGTTTATATTTGGAACTTAAAATCCCTCTTCCCACATCCACAGCCTCCCAGGTGGCTGGGCCGTCTCTGGGTGGGTCAGGTGCTCCACTCCCAGAAGTGAACAAGTGCAAAGACAGGGCTAGGTTCCCAGGATAGGACTGGGACCGAGGTTTCTTTAATTCAACTGACTTTTGAGATCAACAGTTCTTAGGGACAGTTTGAATGAAGGGGGTTGCGAGGGGGGAATCCAGCTTCCTCTATCCTGCAAACTATTACACCAGTAATAATGACAACGGTCATCTCAACACATTCCCCTCGGCTCAGCCTTAGGGTGCGGTGGCACTGTAGGTACCAGGAGGCCTCCCTATCCCATTCCACTTTATAGCATGCTCATGGAGGAATACATTCTCCTTCATGGGACTCAGAGTTGGAGAGAAAAGCTAGGCATCCTGTGGCAGAAGGGAACCTCCGTCACAAGGCCTGGCTTCCTTGTTTGTTGGTCTTGCCTCATGCCACTTCTGCCCACCTCGAAGTTTCCATGGCTTCACGTGCACTGTGGCACAGTTAGCTCAGGCCTGCCTCTCTCTTCTCTGGCCAAAGAGGGTAAAGGGCCACGAGAGGGGGGCGGAAGCTTGGGAGCTGCAGGGTGGCGCAGGTGCAGGCACAGGGCGGTGTCTTTGTTCTTTCGCTCATCCCTCCCCTCCCCTTTCCTCCCCGGAAACCAGCAACTTTGCCACCACCAGTATTGAGGATGCTGAGCTGCGGGGGCCAGGCCCAGGGAGGGGTGGGAGTAAGGGGGGCTGCGACAGCTGTCAGGCCATAAACCAGGCTGACCCCTCGGCTCAGGGCAGCCTGCTTGCAGACTCGGCTCCCACATCAGCAGTCATGAACGGAGGTCACAACAGCACGGATCTGCTAGTGCCTGGTGAGCTGGGCGGGGCACGGGCAGGGGGTCGGGTCACGTGGCCCCATGTCCCACCTGCTGGGACCTGGAGGGTTGGGCTGGGCAGTAACACCCCTCATCCTCTCACATCCACAGGAATCCCCTCTGTGACTCAGGCCTGGGGACTGTGGGCCCTCTTAGGGGCTGTGACGCTGCTGCTTCTCATCTCACTGGCTGCACACTTGTCCCGATGGACTAGTAGCCAGAGCAGGAGCCATCCAGGACAGGGACGGTGAGTGGGGGACAACAGAGATGGGTTGATGGAGAGTTCCCCCTTACCAAGAAGTCCTCACTCTGTGTTGGACTTACTCTAAACTCTAAACTCCGTGTTGCAGCTCTGGAGGCTCTGTGGAAGAAGTCCCCCTGTATGGGAACCTGCATTATCTGCAGACAGGTAGGGAGCTGGCAGAGGGGAGAGGCACACAGGCCAGGTCCCAGGATGAGGGGGTGCAGGAGGAGGAACAAGAAGTGACCAGATTCATGTTTCCTGTCCCAGGACGGCTGTCTCAAGAACCAGGGCCAAACCAGCAGGATCCAACACCTGGAGGCCCGGCCAGGGTGAGTCCATTGTGGCTGAGGAAGAGGAGAGGGAAGGAAGTGGGGGCTTTTGAAAGGGTCCAGTGAACTTCTAACAGCCTTGCATCTCCAGGCTGCAGAGGAGGTGATGTGCTACACCAGCCTGCAGCTGCGGCCTCTTCAGGGCCGGACTCCCAGCCCTGGAGCCCCTATCAAGTACTCAGAGGTGGTGCTGGACTCTGAGCCAGAGCCCCAGGCCTTGGGCCCCGAGCCGGAGCTCTACGCCTCAGTATGTGCCCAGACCCGCAGGGCCCGGGCTTCGTTCCCAGACCAGGCCTATGCCAACAGCCATCCTGCACCCAGCTGAGGTGGAGGGCTGGCACAGTGCGGCATGCAGCACCCCAGCCTCCTCTGTTGCAGAGGTTACTGCTATCCTGTCCGGGGCATGGCTGTTTCCCAACCAACCCCCAACGACTGGCAGCCATTGTCCAGTCACTGGAGGTGATGTTCCCCCAAACTTGCTGTCTGAGCTGTGAGGGAGACATCTCAAGGGAACCACAGGCCCCCAGTTTCTTGAGGGTGGAGGAAGCAACAGCAGTGGTCCCCTCCCCGCCTCTTTTTATCTCTATATATCCGTCTCAGCCCCCAAACTCCCAGGTATTCACTTCCTCCTTCTAGAGTTTAACCAGATCCTCCCCACTCCTGCTCCCCCATAGTCTACCCCTGACACCTCAGTGTCTCCTCAGACACAGGAAGTGGGCAGTGGGTGAGGGGGTAAGAGCTTGAGAGGACATGGGTGGGTGTACTCCTCGGGAGCCCACAGGCTGGAGGGGTCATGGGATCCAGCCCCCTGAGTTCTGATCTGAGAACCCTGGCGGGAGAATATGTCTCCACCCTGCTGCCTCTGTCATGGCCCCAAGTCTTCAAATAAAACATCTCAAAAAGCGCTTACTTTTTACCTAGAAGGTCCTACAGGCAACAGGCTGCACATGGTGTGGGGCGAGCTTTGGCGTCTGCACAGAGCTCCTCCGGGCGCGTCTAGCTGCCACGTCGACACTGCAGGTGTGGGTGCCAGGGGTGGAGGCCGGAGCCCAGCTCCTCACTACTCGTGCTGCTGCTAGAACATCCCCAGGATTTGCACTCGGAGCCACCACTCCCATCACCTGGGGTCTGCAAGTTCACCAGCCCCTGGGGAGCCCAGGCCTCTATAACTGCGCCGCCACCTCCCACATGGGCCATCTCCCCCGAGGGCCTCTGTAGAGGCAGGGCCGGCTTGACAGACCTTTCTGAGGTTTGAAGGGCAGGAGAAAAGGGAAGCTGAGGCTTTTACTTCCAAACTTCTCTCCTTCCCGCTTAGAGTCCCAGAGAAAACCACAGAGTAAGGAACCGTGGCCTGAGCCCGGCCTGGCGGTCCCGGTGAGAGGGGGACCCGTCTCTACACACACAATAACCCCAAAGCCCCAGGGTTCCTGGGCCTGAGGACTCCACCATGGGCCTCCCCAGAAGAGGCCCGGGTCGCGGTTCACGGCAGCAGCTGGGGCTGTGCGGGAGGGACGGTGGTTCTGGGGGCGGGCACCGGATGCCGGGAACCTCCGGCAGCGAGATGTGGGATTCTGAGGGCTGCTGTGGTGAAGATGCTCAATATGTCCGCGGCCTACGGGACGGGAGAAATTGACCCTGGAAGAGGCGGTGGTTGGGGTTCCGCCAACCCACCGGGACCACCCCACAATCCAGCCAAGGCCTCAGACGCCCGCAGACCGGCTCTCTGCACGCAATTCCCCGACGGACGCGGCCGGCCCAGGACCAAGCCCCGAGCGCCCCCGCCTGGCGCGCCGCCGCCTCGCCACCACCTCTGCGCAGGCGCAATGCTGTCCGGTCCGCGGCTGCGCTGGGGTCTAGACGGGAACGCAGCGGACTCGCTCACTCTAGAGCTGGCTGTGATTTGAACTTTGTTCTCCTTCTAGTCCCGAATCCTGGATCCTCTGCCTTCCGTCTCCCCTACATCCCTTTAATTGTTCTTACCTTCTCGTCTCTCACCGAGGTTCGTGCCCTGGCCTAGGCCCTCATGACAACGCCGAGACTGTGGCAACTTCCTAATTGATCCCTGCTCTAGGAAATAAGTTGGGGCAGCCGGATCCGCTCAAACACCTTCTGAGGCCCCCCCTTGCCACATCTCTCTAGCTGGTTGGCTCGTCTCACCTAACCAAATACTTAGTAGCTCTCTCTCCTTCCGTAGCTCCAGGTGCTTTCCTTAGTGGGGTGTGATTCCAGCCGGAAGGAGTGCCCTTCCCAGGCAAATTCCCAGGGGCGGATCCTTAGGGGAAGCCACCAGGACTCACTCGGGCCCCAGCTTTTCCTCTCTTCTTGAGATCCCAGCTGGGAGGTTAGGGATAAGCCCAAGACCTGCAGAGGAAGGGTCTTTGGGATGGTCAAAGGTTCAACGATAGGAAGTTCTTAAGTAACTACTTATAGGTGGGGAGGGATCTTGAAAGCCATCCAGCCAAGGCCCCTCCAACACTGGCCTTGCTCTGCACTCTGTCAAGATGAGTCTAAACTTCCAGGCTGGTTTTGGCTACAAGGAAGGAAATAGAGCTGGGACATGGAGAGAGCCCAAGTCGTAATGACTTCATCTGAAACCTTGGATCCAGCCATGCCCAGAACTAGATCTGCCTCCTGAACTTTTTGGTTGTGTAAGCTAATAAATTCCCTTTTTTGCTTAAGTCAGTCTAAGTTAGATTTTCTATCTTTTGCAACCATGAGTTCTGACTAACTCTGTGGGGAAAGACCAGCAGGGGCAGCTAAGGATGCTGAACCTCTGAGATCTTCCCTTATTGCTTAACTCGTCCACCAGCCACGCTACTAAGATGTACTTAAATGTATTCTCATACCATTTGTACCTAAAATATTTCGCTGTGTGTGAGTTAACCTGGTCTCTTGCCAAGCTTCTAAATGTCTAGAATTATATAGCTGGAAAGAGGCTGACAGATCTGGCCCAAATATACGCCCGTTGCAGGAACCACCCTATAAATGTCGTCTTAAACACTTCCAGAGACAGGGAGCTCACTATCTTTTTTTTTTTTTTTCTAATTTTATTTATTTATTTTTTCCACAAAGCCCCAGTAGATAGTTGTACGTCATAGCTGCACATCCTTCTAGTTGCTGTACGTGGGACGTGGCCTCAGCATGGCCGGAGAAGCGGTGCGTCACTGCACGCCCGGGATCCGAACCTGGGCCACCAGCAGCAGAACGCATGCACTTAACCGCTAAGCCACAGGGCTGGCCCAGGGAGCTCACTATCTTACCAAGTACTTGTTTCCAATCTTTCTTATTAATAGAACTTTTTTTATTTGGAGCCAAGACCTGCCTCCTTGTTACTTTTGTCACCGATTCTGCCTCCTGAGCTACAATTAGCACAATCATTCAATCAGTCTTCTCCCTCCTGTACTTGACAGCCCTGGAGGAACTGGGAGCCAGCCCTGACGGATGGCCTAAGCCTTTCTAAAAGCTTTCTAAAAGCTTTCTAAAGTTCCTTTTAGAGTTCTTTTACAGACCGTATTTGCAGCCTACTCATCATTCCCATTGTCTTGCTTGATCAGAGTCCCTCTTAAAGTGCGGAGCTAAGAAGTGGCCTTCTGGTGGAGTAGAGGTTAAGTTCCCTCCCTCAGCTTCAGCTGCCCGCAGTCCGCAGGCCCGGATCCCGGGAGCGGACCTACGCACCGCTCCTCAAGCCATGCTGCGGGGCATCCCATATATAAAAAGTAGAGGAAGATGGTCATGGATGTTAGCTCAGGGCCAATCTTCCTCACACACACACACAAAAAGCGAATATAGTGCTGGCAGCAAACAGTGGGGGGCCCATCTCTTTGACTGGGCACTAAGTCTACGGGGACCTCTGTTTGTAAGGCATATACTCACTGAGTCTAGCTTTACTGAAGGAATGTTTATTGTAAGGACACCTGGGGCAATTTGGAGGCCAAATGGAATGGAACTCCACAACAGTGGCTGTGGTATGAGTGGGCCTCTACAGGCGGTTGTTGGATGTTATTGGATCTCGGATCTCGGCATTGCCAGGACCCTTGGGACAGGAGTGTGTGGGTCTTCATATTCCTGTTCCTCCAGTCCTGTGACTCAGATACTCTCTGTCTCTCCTGCTTTTATTTATTACCAAATTTCTGCCCACTTTGCTAACTTCCCCATCCTTTATCTTATCGTTTCTGCTCCCTCACAACAGCTTCATATTTCCTCCTCTGTCTCATGACCTCAGTTAAATGTTTAATCTTAGGAGTAGTGTGAGCACATGGTTAAAAAAAAAAAAATCAAATAGAACTGCAGGGTATACAACAGTAGTTCTCAACCAGAAGTGACTTTGCCCCCGAGGGGACATCTGACAATGTCTGGAGACATTTTAGGTCATCACAACTGGGGAGGGTTCTATTGGTATATAGTGGGTACAGGCCAGGGATACTGCTAAACATCCTAGAACACACAGGTCAGCCACTCACAACAAAGAATTTCTGGCCCAAAAAGTTAAAAGTGCCGAGGCTGAGAAATCCTAGCACGGGGGGGGAAAAAAGTAAAAGGCTATCCCATTTCTACTCCCAGATGTAGTTCCCTGAGGCATCTACTATTAATGGCTTCTGTTTTTTAAGTCTTTTGGTGATTATCACTGTATCTGTCCATAATACTTAGACTACTCAGAGCGAGGGGGTTCTGGGCAGATGGCAACCCTATGAAGCTCTCCCTTCCACACTCCCTCTGACAATTCCCAGCTATAGGTGATGACCTTTAAGTGGGCTCTGCTGAGATCCTGGCAGAGATAATTCCCTGCAGACAAGTCTCTGGAGAACAGCCTCAGAGCCAAGAGCAAGGCTTCAGGAAGGCAGCAAGTCCCAGAAACAGTCTGCTTCCCAGGAACAATCAATCAATGGCTTTGCTGAGTCTCCCCGACACTCCAAAATGCACACTGAAACCAGAAGGCAGAGAGACGTGGTGAGGGAGACAGACGAGTCTCTGACTGAACAAAATGAGAGCCTGGAGGAGACACATGTGAAGCCCAAACACAAAAGATTTCCCTAAACTAGAAAACGTGGTATCACAACTAAAAATTTCCATAGATAAAGCAAAGGAAAGGATGGTCACCGCTAAAACCCAATAACAGGTCTAGAGGGCCGGCTCCGTAGCTTAGCGGTTAAGTGCGCGCGCTCTGATGCTGGCGACCCGGGTTCGGATCCCGGGCGCGCCCCAAGGCACCACTTCTCCGTCCAGCGCGAGGCTGAGTCCCATGTACAGCAACTAGAAGGATGTGAACCTATGACATACAACTATCTGCTGGGGCTTTGGGGGGAAAAAAATGAATAAATAAAATCTTTAAAAAAAAAAATAACAGGTCTAGAAAATAGATGAAATATATCAAAACATGTAACAAAACCATGGAGATGCTTGTGGTGAAAGATGGGAGACTGGAACAGACCCAGGAGACAACTGCAAATTCTGTGAGTTCCTGGAGAAAAAGGAACAGGAGAGGAGAGGTCAGAATTAAATAAGAGATAAAATTTCCTTGAGCTGAAGAAAGACTTAAGTTCCAGACTGGACTGATAGGAAAAGACACACACACAGTCATATACACGTTAAAATTT